CATCGCTGAGGAAGTGAAGGTAGTTAAAATAATATTGACACTCCAATTTTTTCAGACATGAAGGTCCAAGGAATACAGTTATTCAGTCATTTTATCTGATTTTTTTGCATCTGTATTGGTTTAGATCAAAGCTTTTATATTTTATTTTTCAGGTTTTGTTGCAAATTAGTTGTGGCAAGCAGGTCTGATATCTGCTCGAAATATTGATTTGGTAAAACTGTGGTGGTCCTGAAGACTAACTCTGTGGGAGCACAATTTAGAACACACTTGAAAATGTTTCTTATTGTCAATAATATGTAAGGAATATTATATAACCATTGCGTTAGACTGTCAAAAGCTGGGAAAAATATTCTAATGAAAGTTCTCCCTCTGAAATTAAAAACCAACAAAGAACTGTCAGCTTCGAATACAATATTCCAAAATCAGCTCAATATTAAAACAACAAAATAAAATTGTTTTTCAGCCAATGAAAAGAATTTAGAGAAATACATCTATCTGAGTTTCTTTTATGGTGACCAACCTTACAAAAGGATGCTTAATGGCATAGTAGCATAGAAAATAATCAAGAATTGCAGAAGTCACTTGTCATTACCAAAATGTCAAGCAGAAACCAGACACTATGCCACATCAAAAGAAACTTGCTTAACTGACAATAAAAAGACAATAAATACAAACAATAAAAAAAAAACTGTTTAATCTTTATAATTTTGTATGTGAAAGCATTTGCTGTGCAAAAAGTTTACCCTGCCACTCTCTTCCCTGAATTTGAATTTGTTTGAATTTCATAGTTGTGTTGTCATATCCTGCTATGACAACAAAAAACACCTTTAAGTGGAATTAACAATAAGGTTACTGAAATTGAGAAGCCTTGAAAAAGAATGCAGTGGGAAGAGAAGTAATATTAATAATGCAGAGTGCTGCTTTTCTCTTTTGCTACCCGGCAAGAAATATCCAAAAGTCTCAAGTGAACAATGCCTATTTTTCAGAATTTGTATCATATACTAGGCACGCAAAAAGCTCACTTAAATTTTCCTAGAGGTGAGACTGGAGTGAGTTTTTTTTTGTGCTCAAAAATATTTTATATACTGTCGTATATTATGTTGTACAAAAAATCATATATGAATATGTATATACCTGTTCTTGTATTTAAAATGAATGAAAAACTTGGCAATGGTTTATTTTCTTCAATAAAAATACAAATTTGTATCATTCATGAGATCCATTTCAGGCATTGGAACAGAAAGAGAGAGTAAGAGAGAGAGAGTAAGAGAGAGAGATTAAGAGGGAGAGAGTAAGAGAGAGGGTAAGAGGAAGAGAGTAAGAGAGAGGGTAAGAGAGAGAGATTAAGAGGGAGAGAGACTAAGAGAGAAAATAAGAGAGAGAGATTAAGAGGGAGAGAGAGAGCGAGAGAGATTAAGAGGGAGAGAGAGAGAGAGAGAGGCTCCTCCTTATTTGTAGCAGGAAGCTGTCCTGATTAGTTTTTTGGTGAGGTAAAGTGGAGTAAACTAGCTGGTCCCAATTTTGGCAAAAGAGTAGAGGAAACTAACCTTGAAGCCCTCTTTTTTTTGGATGTTGGGTTCTTACTGAAGCTGGGAAGTTCAGTGAGTGTGTGTAGGATTGTTCTTTGCTTTGTTACAGTGGATATGATCTTTTGTTTTTGCTTATCCAATTATCTTTTTTTTTACAGTAAGGTTCACTTTGTACAGGTTACAGGGGGCCACTCAAGGTAGAGGGTTATGTTAGGATGCAGTTTGTATGGGGAAGGTAACAGTTAACCCTAGACTTGAACAGGTTAAGATTGTACTGATTTGTGAAACATCCTCTTTGGAGTCTGTTCCACAGAGCATTGTTTCATGGTAAGAAGCTGTTCAAGTGAAACTTACTTCTCACTGGAAGGAACGTTGGTGGTTTGCTAAAATGTAAGTGGCATGCCAGGTGCTTGTTGTGAAGGTTAGGCTTGGCAGAACCAAGGGATGTAGTTCATCTGAGCACTTTCTGTAAAAGTAGCAATAGAGCTGTGAGATTCTTGCCACATCCCACCGGAGAGAGAGAGGTTGGAAGGTGGAGGGCCAACGAGGACTAAGAGATGCTTTTGGACTCTATCAAGGCTGGAAAGTGTGGTCTGGGTAGCTCCCACCAAAATATGACAACAGTACTTCATTTTAGGCCTGATCTGGCTCTTGTAAAGATAATGTTAACGAGGTATTAAGAATATGATAAGTGATACTTTTCAGGGAATTTAATACATATTTTTATTTTATTTTATTTTACTTATTAAACTTTGCTTACTACTACAGTCTCACACAGAGAAACTATAACATATATGATAAAACAACCAGTGTGAATGGGGAAAAATAGAGAGAGTCTTATTTGTAATATTTTCCAAAGGCTGGTGATGTCTTTTACATTCCATGTGTTTTCCATTTGTTCACCCTACCACTGCCAGTTTATGATGTCTATCTTCCTCGTGGTCTACGTAGCAACTGGGATTTATCATCCTACAAGCTGACAACACTCACTAGCCGTCACATTACCCTTGTAAATTCATCTTACCTAAAGGGAGATAATCCCCATCCATATCCCTACACACCCATTAGCACAAGGTTAATATGTCATTTTTATACTTTCTTCTTAGCAATTTTGTAAACACATCGAATAATTTCAATAGAAAACATACACTGTTTTGGCTCCGAAAATGGGAATCACTTCACATATTATTTGTCGCAGTTTCCACTGAAGTTTAGCTGGTAAATTTGTAGATGATTCATTGATTTATTCTTTTATTGTTTAATAACCCTTTGCAGGTTATTTAAAGCCAGAAAATATTTTTAGATACTAAAAATTCTTTGGAGATAATAATGATTATCCCATATCTGGGGGAGAAGAGGTGGATTCATATCATTATCACATAAGTGAATATATCTAACCTGACTGGAATTGAAACTCAGTTCTTCAGTTTCCAGTTTTGAGCAGTTATCCCATACACCACTCGCACACCCAACCTTAGAGTACATGGTATTCCCAAGTGATCACCAAATTATGTACTGACCAGGTTTGCATTGCTTAAATTCGGTGATCTTATGACAAATGGTGTTTCCACATGATATGACGGTATGCTAGTAAGTACCTGAATCCTCATGCTATCCTCTACCGTTACAAGAGTCAGAGATCAGGTCAAAAATGACGTACTGTTGTCATATTTGGGTGAGAGCTGCTCAGACCTCACTCTCCAGGCTTGATAGAGTTCAAAAGCGTCTCCAAGGTGTTGTGGGTGACAAAATTTTCCACTCTCCAACCTCTCTCCCACAGGCAGGATGTGGCAAGCCTCTCACAGAAAGTGTTCAGACAAACCACATTCCCTTGTCTCACCAGTTCAAACCTTCACAACAAGGACCTGCTATGTGACTTATATAGTAGCTAACTACCCTCATTCACTCCATATTCCATTGGTAAGAAGTAAGTTCCACTCTAAGAGCTTATTCTTATGAATCACTGCTCTGTGGAACCGATTCCCAAGTGGATTTTTTCCCAATCACTATAATCGTAACCTGTTTAACTTTAGGGTTAGCCATTATCTTCCACTCCCTATCGGCACAAATTGCCTCCTAACAAAATCACTTCCTTGGGTGGCCCCTGTTCCTTGTAAAAGCTGAACCTTACCATAAAAAAGCTGTAAATATGTAGAGAACTGTCAGCAAATAATTGCATCTTTAAACTTCTGGCAGGAAATCCAACTATGTCAACACGTAATTTATTGAATCTATCATCTGGGTTTCCTAAGATCCTATGCACATTTTTTATTCCTTAATATCCACATGGATGTTCATTAAGGAATTTTGTGAATACACATTGTTCAGTGTACATTCGATTGTGTCAATACAGTAATATCTGTTTTTTTCTGTAGAAAGAGAGTTAAATGCAGCATGAATATCTGGAAGCTGTATCTGTTGAAGACACAATGTATGGTTGTTAACAAGAGGAACAGCATAAGATGTGAATTATAAATCAGATAAATTATAAATAAAAAGAAAAGTATATAAATTTAACTACTCAAGAAGTTGGACATTGAAAAATCTGACACAAGCACATTAAAATAGCAATAGATGCCAATCTATTGAAATTTTTGTTAGAAGCAACAAAAACTTTTTTTAATCAGTATCACCCCATGCAAGGTAGTAAAGCCACTAAGACACAGTGTGTTACAGTGTGTTGAAGAATTAGAAATAGAAAAATTAATAATGAGCAGGAAGAAGAAAGAATAATCAGTATAGTAGTTATGTAATATCAATCCTCCTCTATAGCAGTGAATGCTGGACAATTTCCTCACAGTTAAAGGAGGCTTGAGGCAACAGAAATTTTGTTGAGAATATTATGGACGGAGCATGTAAGCAAGAAGGAAGTTTTAAGGAAAATGAATAGGACACTTATACTTGGTATCATAAAGAAGCAGCTGAAATTTGTAGGACACATATTGAGGAAAGAAGGCTTAGAGAATTTAACTCTCACAGGATATATTGTGGATAAGAGGCATAGATGAAAGAAGAGAGTAACCTACCTAATGAGTAATGTAAATGTAAATGCTTAGTAGAACATGGATTAGAAGGAATAGTAAGGAGACAAATATTACTTAAATATTACAAATTACTACTACCATTAATATTTAGTGAACTTTGTTTTACAGAGGTTATAGTAAATGCAATATTCTCATGTAAGGCATAAATGAATATCTTACTGATGCATTTGATTGATTCATTGTCTATGGCTTATCAACTCTTTCCAGAAAATATTTTTAGATTGTAAGAACTTTTTTTTAGATAATAATGATTTAGTGAGACATGTTTTACTAATTAACCCATAGCTGAGGGGAGAATAAGTGGTTTCATACTCTTCCTAACGGCACTTGCACATAAATGAATATAACGAACCTAGCTGGAATTGGAATTCAGCTCTCCGATTAACAATTCCGAGCCATTCTCCATTACACCACCCACACATCCAAGCTTACAGCATCTAGTATTCCCTAGCGGTCACCCATCTAGATACTGGCCAGGTTCGACGTTGCTTAACTGCAGTGATTGTACGGGAATTGGTGTTGCAATGTGATATTGTCGCAAGCTTTTCTGTTGCGAGGCACAAGTGTTTGATTGAAAGGGTATTTTGTGAGTAATTCTTGGGAAAAGTTGCTTTTCTTGGGCAGAAAATAATTTCATTTAAAAAAAGGAAATTGGTTTAACTTTCTTGTTTATGATGGCTTCATATGACATTGAAGAAATATCTTTTACAGTTAGTTTTGCATTTTGATCATCATCATCATTATCATCATCAATATAAAACAGTTTAATAAAATTAGCTAAGGCATTTTACATAACTGAAGACTTTTTACGGTGTCTTCTTGCAACAATATAGATTTGAAGGGTTTATAAAATATGTGTAGGTGACCTTAATATTACCTGCCGTACATACAGATATTTACCCAAATATTAAAATTAAAAAAGAATGAAAGAAATTGGAAGAATGTAAATGAATGTTATATTTTATCGAAAGAAAACATGCTAACAAAGTGTAGAAATTTTTGTATCCCTTCTCTTTAACCCTGAAAAGGAAAACTAGCAAATATTACCAAAATCTATCATTAATCGCAAATCCAGGATGTCATGTAAGAGTTCTTGTTTTTATCCATGTGTTTGGCAACTATTTTCTTTCACAGTGACTACTTAAGAACTGTTCTTTGTACAGACTAAAGTTTCACTGACTTGCCGTTAAGGGTCACATGACCATCCAAGCGCGGTGCATACTAATTAGGCAAGAAGGACAGATTCATCGTTTTTCTTCCATTTTTTAAGAGAGACAAGCATTTGTGAGTATCCTGAAATGAAAAAAACTATAACAAAGACTAAACGTTTTTCTTGCAGAACCCTTACAAGATTTTCCAAATATCCCGAAAGCCCCACCTGTATATTAGGAACACAACCAACACCTTAAATTTCTGTCTGATTTTCGGAAATGAGGAGTTATTTATTATTTACATTTCTTTCTTGTTATCACAAAACTTTCTCAGGTGAGAGAAAACTGAAGCAAAGGTGGTCAAGCGCATCAGCGGGTAGGCAATACGAAACTTATGTTTAAGACACCAAGTTCTAAATTCAGGATTGCCCAATGGGACAATAGCATAGTGGTTGGGTCATGTGGTATTGTAATTGGAGGTTCAATCCCAGGGTCAGGTAACACAGATTCAGACAAGGAATAACTGAGCAGTACTAAAAAAAAGAACCAGATAAGATATCCGAACACATGGACAGTAAACAAGAACATCCTACTTCTGCAGATTAAATAAAACGTTACCCAGATGGAGAAGCGCCTGAAGAAGGCTGAAAGACACAAAACCTGAAACCTTGAGATAATAACAAAGATGAGGACATTAGTCTGAATGGAAATAAATACCAGCCTAATTTTAATAATACATATAAAATTAACTAAAAACTGAGCGAGATTATATATTCATATGAAAACCAACATAAATTAAACATTAAAATAAAAAAGCAACTCTATTTCTTTTGTTATAAATTTGTAACTTGTCAAAAAAAGGGGGGGGCCAAGAATATTGCGACTTCTGGGATTCCAGAATTCTCTGCAAATTTTGGTTTGTTATTGGATAATTGAATTCCTATTTCTGTTGCAGCTTCCAATCTATTGCAATATTTAGTTTTTGTGCTAACATATTTAGAAAAAAAGAACAGGTTTGCATAAATATGTTCTTACAAACTGTAATAGAACTCATATTTTGATAAATCCGGATACACGTTATCAAATATCGCACAGAAAAATTGCTACCAGAATTCCTTCAAACTTAGCCTTTAACTGACTAAATCAGTTGTTCTCAAACTGTGCGGCGCACCTGGGTGTCTATATCAGATGATACTCGCAAACATAAAATAAAAATACAATGATCTGACACAGGTCAAGGCAAGAATAACAAGAATGAGGAACTCAGATAAAAATATGCCACAGTTTATTATTGGCAAATAATACAATTAAAAGAAATGCAGATGTTTCAAAAAAAAGTCCCATGGAAAGCAGTAACGGGTAATCCAAAAATGAGGAACGGGAATAATTTTTTTTGGTAGCGTTAAAAATAAATTCGGGAAAACAGTTCCTGTAGTGCTCGTGAATCAGTTGGAATTCACAGAAGATAAAGCGGAACAGTTTATGTGCGCAGAAGATAACTGGAATAATTAGTATTGCGCAGAAGATACACCGAAAGTGTAGGTATAGTGAAGAACCGTTGACATGCACAGAAGATATGGGCAATTTACCATCACATATCGAGTTGTTGGTCCTGAAAAATAATCTTTGCAGTTTATTAGAATTCTAATTGGGGTTAATGCATCCGCACGCAGTTGGGGAAAAGACTTACTTTTGGTCCTGAAAAGGACAGTTAGTTACCGCATACCATGTAGTTGGGAGAAAAACTCAGTTTTGGTCCTAAAAAGGAAAAAGAAAGTAGGATCATATTGTTTTTTAAGTTCTGTTTAGAAACTGAATTCAACTAGCGGGGGGGGGATCATCATGTTTGGTAATAACAATATCTCTAAAATCTCCCCGAAGAATTCCCGTCGGTTAGAAAGTTTCTTTGAGTTGGTTGAATTCATTTCTTTTTAAAAATTTCATTTTTCTCCCATCATCAGTCAAGTTTGCCTTTATAATTTTTAATTCCATGTAATACAAAAGTGATAAACCCCTTCCTTTACATATGAAATTGTATCAATCGTATTCCAAAGTCTCCCAATGTATCTGATAACGTGGTGTCGTTTTCTAATCTTTATATATGTTTCTTCTGGCTTGCAAATCAGAAAATGCAAATATCTAGAATTCTAATAAACTGCAAAGATTATTTTGAATAGCTTTTCTGATTCTTAATCTTCATGATACCGTTAGTTAGTGAAGACCCTTGGGTTGCTAGAACCCCGGGCAAGCTCATGATTAATATAGGTACCTTCACGAAAATGCTAAAAAATCAGCTTATTGCATGCTTCAAATGTAATGAAAACATAGTTTTGTCGTCAAAATCTTTATGTTTAAGAGGAAGGATCAAAGCATTTTTTGATTATTTAATTATTTTTTTACTCCTTTTTAGAACATTCGAAATGTATTTAAAAATCTTTTTTTTTTTGTGTCAGCGCTTGTACTAAATTTTAGCATAGCAAATTTTGGCCTCTTTTTTGCGATGACAGACACATTAATTTGGAAATTATTGCAAAAATCAAATAATTGTCAGATTCTAATTAAATTTTCAGGACTTATTCATAAATGAATTAAATTATTTCTGATTATTATTTTTTTATTAGAAAATTTTAGTAAAAATATATATATATATTACATGAGTTTCATCGCCTTACTTAATTTTAGGAAAACTTGAGAAATTCATCGAGATAATTTTTAGTGACTATGTTACTTAATTCACCGATTTTTTTTTTTTTTTTTTTTGCAGAATAGGACCTGGTCTTACCAAAAATCTGTTCTGAATCGAAAAATAAAAAATGCAATATAATTAGTATTAATTGTATTTAATTAGAGAAGCTTTTAATTGCCTATATGAATATTTTAAAGTCTGGAGAAAAAAAAATTTTCGACTAAAAATGAATTTTTACAAGATTTGTTTTCACGTTTATTTCAATTTTAAATTAAAGTTTTAAAATCTTTTAAAATTCATTTTCAATGCGATAATTCTTAGGAAATATTGTTAGTAAGTAAAATTATATTTACTAATCATATATTACAATCTGACGACCCCGAATCTGACAACCCCGAATATTTTTAAAAGAATTTCGATTTGTTTTTATATGTATGATTACGTGCAGATTTTATGAAGTATGGATGTATAAATAGATAAATCTAGCATTTAAATGACATGTGTATTAAGTTAATTAATTAAATTAATTAGTTAAGTTTAATACGTACGACGAGAAAATCTTCAAACTTTATCGTTTGCGCCACCATACTTAACTATGAACACATTTGGCTGTCAATCCGCTGTCAATAAATCGATTAACACGTCAGAAAAACAAGACCCCGTATGTAAGAAATGTTTGTATACAACATTTTATGCTATAAGTAAGTAATATTTGTTTCAAATCAGATTAATTTAACTTAATTGGCCAATTTTCCTTAAATAACGTTTCAGAAATATATATTTTATAGAAATGCGAGATTTTTAAAACCGAAACTTAACTTTTGTTTACAAAGCTGTCAAAAATGACCGTTTTGATCGATTTTAGTGGAAAAAAATCAATTCCGACCAATATAATTTCTGTTTGAAATAAACCACAGAGTATTTTGCTTATTGGAAATAGTACATTTTAAATCCTTTAGCTTTCAATTCAAGCTAAGATGAAAGTTTTTTCATTTTTAAAAATCCATTTTAAACCGAATTAGTGGATGTACCTAGATTAATACAAATAAAATTTGTCACTTAGATTCAGCACCTTTTTCCTAATTTTGCTGTTCACTCAGCAGGAGGTTTCAATGACTGACTACGGATTTTCTCATTTATTGGCAATCAAAGAAGTAAAGAATACATCTATATTTTTTAAAATCAAGTTCACCCTAAGCAAGGGAGTAAAGCCACTAAGACACAAGAGGGTTTTCCGTTTCACAAAACAGTGTCGGGGTGTCCATCCTGGTCCATTCTTTAATGTTGTCCATACTGCTTTTGGCTACCTCCTCCTCCTACGTCTACCCACTTCCAAGGTACCTTGAAGGACCGTCTTAGGTAGAGTATTGTGCGTATGACATGTCCAAGACACAACAGCTTGTTCCTCTTTACCTTGCAGAGATAAACATGACTAAAAAAATTTGCAAAAATTTCGGGTAAATATGCAATTCTTGAGAGCCAACTGTATTTGTTAACTTGTTGATGAATCATAATTTATGATCGATAAAATAACAGTTCTTTCTGCAATTCAAGCATAGAAACAAGGAAAAGAGTACTAAACTGTTACATGACATCTCTCCTCATGTATGACAGTGAGTGCTAGACAATCACCTCAAAGATGAAGAAGAGACTTGAAGCAACAGAAATGTAGTTCTACAGAAAGATGCTGAGGATACCATGAAGC